CTAGCTTGCTCGGCAGAACTGGAACTTTCATGACATTGAGCCCAGAACACCTGATCGTCTGCGACCGAAACAAGGCTTGCCAATGGCCAGGCAAGCGACCCCAGTCTTCCACCGCTGAAGCTATGTCGCGGCAGCCGGACTCAGCTGACATCCATTTCTGCAGGGTGGGGTCGGAGTCCAGAAACTGGTTCACCACTTCCCCACATTCTTCTTTGTCTGCGTCCTCGGTTCTCTTTGCAAACGAGGCAGCTGCACAAAACAAGATGCTGGCAGACAAGGCTGCACGAAGAACCTGGCACGTGACGTTCATCCTACTGTGGATTCCAGTTTCGGAGTACAGGTCATTCATCTGCATCTGGTGCATTTGGGAGAATTAAACAAAAAGACAAGGGGGACCAAAAATCACAAAACAAAACTAAACCACGAAACCTTTGTCGGTCAGACCGGCACCCGGCTCAACGCATGCGACCGCGGGACGGTGCCCTCTGCCGAGCCCGGCAGCGTCTGGGTGTACGCCGCCGTGCCCGCGCGGAGCGGGAAGTCCGCCGCGCGCTCCACGCAGGGGTTGCCTCGGCGAAATCGGGAGGCCGAGCGGCCGTCCGAAACGGAGAACGGACCAAAAATGAGGTGTGGGCCAAAAAAGAAATGTAGATCTTGGAGTGGCAAATGGAAACATGGACTAAGACATGCGGTCCGATTCCTGGTGACTTAAGTTTGACCCATACCCAAGGGTTTTTGGTCTGGGCTCCCGAGCTCAGGATTGCCGGGCTCGGGAATGCGTACGGCCCAACTCATGAAACATCCGCATGCGGCAGATTTCTTTCGACCTAAACGAGTCATTCCCCGAACTGAACCATCTAACGCAACTGGATCAAAGCCTGGTGTCTCTCGGCCATTAGGAGGCTTCCTGGCGCCCCAACCGGCCGAAAGGCTCGTGAAGTTGTTGCGACTCAGGAAGTTCTCGAACTGGAGCCGCATTTCGTTCACACCACCCACCTCGCAGCGAAGGGAAGGAGTCAAGGACTTCCCACAAACTTCCAGGCAATGCTGACGTCTTCCCTCGCATCACCCCAAAGGAACATCAAACTCAAAATCGGACACCCTACCCTACCTCCCCCTACCTCCCCCTACCTCCCCCGACCTGCCCCTACCTCCCCCTACCTCCCCGTACCTGCCCCTACCTCCCCTACCTCCCCCACCTCCCCCTACCTCCCCCTACCTCCCCCTACCTCCCCCATCTCCCCCTACCTCCCCCTACCTCTCCCCACCTCCCGCTACCTCCCCCTACCCCCTACCTCCCCCTACCCCTACCTCCCCCTACCTCCCCCTACTTCCCCCTACTTCCCCCTACTTCCCCCTACCTCCCCCTACCTCCCAGCTCCCCCTACCTCCCCCTACCTCCTCCCCCCTTCCCAAACCTCGTGGGCACAGGACAGGCCCTCGCAGGGCCCCGGGTTTTTGCCCATGGCCAGGAAGGAGAAGACGCCCACGGGCTGCCCCCCCGGGAAGTGCGCCACGCTCGCCAGGCTCGGCCCCCGCCGCGAGCGCGGAGGCAGCTCCTCGCCGCTTCTCAACAGACTTGAAGTGGCCATGGGCCATGGGTCAAAAATATGGGTATTCAAAAAACCGGGACCAAAATGGGTTGCCCTGGTAAGTGGAAAACATGGACCAAAACCTGCATAACCCCTCCTGTTTAATTTTGAGCCACTGCCATATGTAGCCAAAATGGCTTGCCCTGGTAAAGGGACACATGGACTAAAATGCGCGGTCCGATTCCTGGTGGCTGTAATTTTGACCCATACCCAAGTGGCCATGGGTCAAAACCCCGGTTAGCCCCCAGTGAACATCCCAATCCACTAAAATAGATTCTCAAATGGGTGGTGAACTCACCTACCCCAAATGGTACCATTTGAGCAATTGCCCAAAAAAGGAAGGGGAAAAAACAAGCGGGTTGGCCATGTCAGCCATGGAGCTAAGTGTCAGATTGATCAGTTTCAATGAGTTTGTCGAAAACCAACATGTGCGTGTCTCTCATATCAAATAAACGCTTAAGCACGAGTCAAACCAAATCGGCACTCCCAGATGGTTCGGACACTACTCGGCTACCACAAAGTGATACTTTCACCCAGCGTCCTGGATGCTGTCCAGCAGCACCGTGTCCCCAGGCAGCTCATCGTAGATCGTGTGGGTCGTGTCCTCCGTCTCCTCAACCTTCACCTGCAAGCTACGCCCGGAAAAGGACAAAACACACTCCATCCTCACGTGGAAAGGAAAAAATCACGCCTGCAAAATGCCAAACAGTCACTAGGGCCCTCCACATGTTCCTTTTACATGCGAGGGAAGTTCTCTCACTCACACGTTGAAAAATCCTTGGGCCGATTGATCGCCTCCCATGGGTTGATTCGATTGGGCTCGCATGTTACTCCTCAACCAACCTTCATTTCGGTAGGCACCTCCGCGTCCATGTACTCAATGCACTGGCGCACGAGCTGAGAATGACTAGCGTTGGGGCTGGTGATGCCGATCTGCAGAGAGGCGCCGCCGGCGCTGACGAAGCCCAGCGCCTGGCTGGTGATGCGCCGGAAGGACCTCTCGTTTCCCAAGGAGATCAGAAAAGCGCCCATCTCATACACGGCTTCCAGAGAACCCGGCAATGTGCGGCAGCCCTCATCTTCATTGAGCCTCTTGCTGCATTTGTACAGCAAATCCCCCAGCCCGCCAGCTGTGACAGGAAGGTCCTAAGCAACTTGAGCAGTGTCTTTGAGGCGTTGGTCGGTGTTTCCATTCTCTGAGGTCTTTCCATAGACCCATTTCAAGGCCAACTTGCCAAGTGACAGTGTGTGGGGCTTACATCAGTTTCACGCATCCTGACCTCGGCACCATGTTTCAACGATCCCCTGACCCTGTCCAACCTTGTCCGCGTCCGCACATGTGCCATAGCCCAAAATCCAATTCAGAGGAATGGTTGCAACTAACAACCTTAGACGACCAAACCTCGAACGCAAAACCTCTACCAAAACCCATGTCTCTCAAACATCATCCCAAAAAGGAAGCTTACATGAATCCATGAATCTTTAGATTGGCTGTTCCAAAAGCAGATGCTGGACATTTGCAGGAAATCGTCTTGGAGCCCTTCCCCCACTCCCTGTCGTGATGTCGATCGAATTTGCCGAGCGGCCCCCAAGCGCTGGATCTCTTCGAACAAGCGCCGCGCATTCGCCACCTCCACTCGGTGCCCGGCTGTACTCAAGATCTCCCAGCCGTTCCTGCCAAGGAATTTGATCATGAGGGATTCTCCAGACCGGTTGCCCAGGGTGCGAGCTAAGACGTGGTGTTGCCCCTGCTCTAACATTGGAGTCTGGTGACGATTCTCATGAATGCTAGCCATGTAAAGCAACAAACAAAAGATTAGATCGCTGGAAGCCAAAAGAAGTGCCCTCTCCTCAACAAGTAGCGTTGGTTCCGATTCAACTCTTGCGCATACTCGGCCATCGCGGCACCCACATCGCTGGGCTCTGACTTTGCCGTGAGCGGAAGCTTCACATTCTTCACCTTCTGAAGAAATTCGTCCTCGCCAGAGTGGACGTAGTAGATCTTCATGCCACTGGACCCCCAATCTGAAAACAGCGTGTCTTTGCAGGAGCTGGACAAATTGTTCCTGCCACGCTCCAGGAAAGAAGATGCGGACATAGCTGAGAACCAGCCCATCTTGCCGGTCCGCTCGTTGCGTCCGTACATTAGCGTGCCATCCCAGCCTTGCTGGATGCAACATTGACCACTGGCTGGCTGGCTGGTCGGCCGGCCTGCCTGCCTGCCTGCCTCCTGCCCCTGCCTGCCTGCCTGCCTGCCTGCCTGCCTTCCTCCCGTCCTGCCTGCCTGGCTGTCGCTGTTGTTGCTGTTGCTGCTGTTGCTGCTGTTGCTGCTGTTGCTGCTGTTGCTGCTGTTGCTGCTGTTGCTGTCGATGTTGCTGCCGTTGGCCGCTGTTTCTGTTGTCGGTGGTTGACGCACTTATTGTTGATGTTGCTGATGTTGCTGTTGTCCCTTCCGCGCAGACGTTAAGACGTGGTTGGAGTACCACGCAGATATGTTGGAATTGGCAGCATATTCACTGTTGCCCTACAACATGCTGGTGCGCAGATTATACGGTGGCAACTGCGTTTTCAAACAGCAGAACCCCCGTCAGCACATAAGTACACACTCTCAACTGCGTTTCCAAACAGCAGAAACCCCGTCAGCACATGTAAGTACAAGGTGTCCATCGCGCTTCCAAACTGCAGAACACGGTGTCAACTGCGCTTTCAAACAGCAGAACCCCCGTCAGCCCATGATAACTACACGGAGTCAACTGCGTTTCCAAATGGCAGAACCCCCGTCAGCACGACATGATAAGTCTGCACATGATAAGCACACTGTGTCAATTGCATTTCCATACAGCAGAACGTTATCGACCTCGTGGATGATGCTGCATTGATTCTGTTCAGGCTTTTCAGTCAGCCCTCTCCTTCTGCATCCGCTTGAGCAACCTATTTGTGTGTGTGCAAAATGGCGTCTGGGAGAGGGTACTTTTTGTGGAAGGTATGTCATTGGGTCGCCGTTCTTCTAAAAACGACAACCAGGAAAAAAAGGCTTATTAATTGGCAAAATGTTTGTGCAAGATGGCAGCTGCGAGAGGGCACCTTTTGTGAAAGGTATGTCGATGGGTCGCCGATTTTCTAAAAAACGACGACCTGAAAAAAGACCGTTTTAAGCCCCCAACTGTTCAACGTACTGGTTTTACCATGCAAAAAAATGTTGTTGACTTGAGCTGCAGTGGAAGCGCGGCAAGACATCCGCGCGATGCGTTGTTGTTGCTGTTGTTGTTGTTGTTGTTGTTGTTGTTGCTGTTGCTGTTGCTGTTGCTGCTGCTGCTGCTGTTGCTGTTGCTGTTGCTGTTGCTGTTGCTGTTGCTGTTGCTGTTGCTGTTGCTGTTGCTGTTGCTGTTGCTGTTGCTGTTGCTGTTG